ATTTTGTAGGTCAGATCAAAAGTACAATTTTTAAATTTATAATCATATAACCTAAAATATGCATTTGAATAATGCACAATTGTTATTTTTCAAACATTTTTTCTGCACAACTTAAAGTAAAATTAAAATTCAGGCTTTGATTTTACCTTAAAAAGTCCTCCTTATAGATGAAAATTTTTTTTAAAATTTGACATACCACCGAGCTGTTAAAGATTTTCATATGAAGTCATATGAGGTTGTCTAGATAATAATCTTATCTTTAAATTTTATAAGAGGTCAATTCACTCTAATTTTTAAGCAAACGGAGCTACACGTGTTCTGCTGAACGTAAAATTTACTATATAATGCACTTGTAAGACAGAGACAACACATGCGGGTATCACRTCCTCTTAACAATTGAATTTATTATAATGTGCTATAAGGTGCTAATATTAATTATTATTATTTAGGCATCTGCTTGCTATCACCATTGACATTAACTCAAAATTAATAAAAAATATATATGCATGCTATGAATACTATGCAAACATCGAATTTTGTGTTTTATATTTCTGATTAAAAATTGACGATAATAGAAAATGAGTYTCATTTTCTATTATCGTCAATTTGTGTTGGGAAACACTGCTACTAACACAAAAATCATAGTTTGTTGAATAAACAACATTAACATTTTTATTGATTGTATTGAAATAGAAATAAACACTTTAATGCAGTATTAATGAATTTAAGTAAAAGAGCCAAACATATTACTTCTGAATATGATGAAAATCGAAGTGGTAAAACTGTTCAAGAAATGAAACAGTTAGTGTCTAGACTTCCTTACATGCTGGCACTAAAAAAACAACTCTCTACATGTAATCATCTAGTAATTAATTTTGCTTGGTAGCGATTTGTTTGATGTACGAATATTTGATATTGACTAAATATTATTGTTTAATTTATCCGCTTATTAGACACCACAGTTGCTGGACTAATCAAAGAACTAACTGACAAAACTAGTTTTCGGGATTTAATAAATGTGCAACAAGAACTGATTTTGGGTATTGAGTCAGATAAAGTATTACCTCAGATAGAAGATTTGATTTCCAATAAATTTGATCTTATAATGGTAATTATAATTTATAACATCTTCACAATACACATCATAAAACATTTCATACATATCGTAGGTGTTGCGATTAATATGTATGCAATCTGCTGTAAATTCAGGATTAAAACAAAAAACTTTGGAATATTACAAGAGAGAAATCATTCAAGTTTATGGTTTTAAACACCTTATAACAATGACCCATTTGGAAAATGCTGGTCTCATTAAAATACAAGTAAATGCGCTTTTTTAAAAATCAACTAGCAAATTTAATGTAGCAAATATTTTGTTACAGGTAAACTCAAGAAGTTATGCTGTTTGTCGTCGTCTGTTAAACTTAGATGTCTATGAAATGAGCGAAGTCGATCCAGATGATATCAACTATGTTTATGGTATTTATGCTCCATTGAGTGTTAGGTTAATTCAACATATTTCTAAATCAGACAGTAAAGTATTGTCTGATGTTCTGCCATTATTACCTGGACCTATTGTAGAACATGTTAATCCTGATGTCGATCAAGGTAATTTATTTATTATTTAGATGGGCCAAAACTTAGATCATATTAAATACATATATTATAATCTAAGGACCAAAGCCTAATTACAGAAGAATCACGGTAATTGGGAAAATATAAAAACAGGGGACTRTTAGATTATTGGAGTTGTTCCCTATAATACACATTTTTACTTATTGCGAATCTGAATTAAWACCTGCGATATTTTATTTGAACATGTAAATAAAACATTATACAACACAAAAACTAACCGGTGCACAATATGCATATCAACGTTAACTAAATCAATAAATTTTAAGTTTTATGGTTATTTTAGTAAAAAAAATCTGGATTACTGGACGTACTTGATTATCGCACAGCCAGATTACCGAGAATTCTGTACTAAAGAAACATTTATTGTAATGGTTTGAGTACTTATTATATTATTTGCATTTGTTGTTATTTTTACAGCGACTAATATCAGTTTTTTGGGAGATTCTCAAAAAGTTGTACTTGTATTCTTTATTGGTGGATGTACATTTGCTGAAATATCTGCTCTCAGATTCTTGTCATCGCTTGAAGACTGTAAGTTGCCAAATCATATTTTGTTGTATGTTTAAAAACATAATTATCTAAAACTGTTTTCAGCTACAATTGAATACGTAATTGCCACTACCAATATTATAAATGGCAATAGTTTTATCAAGTCATTATTAATCCCTGAAATAAACAAGAATTTAAACAAGTAAACCATTTCATTTAATTTCTTAGGTATACATTTTATTATTACATTCATATTATATTGAGTTACACAATTATTAATAAGTTTTTTTTTTTTAAACATTTTGTTTCAACATTTATCATTTAATAAAAGTTATGTAAAAAAAAATTAATTATATTTGTCCAGAAATGCTTGACAAGATCTCATACATTGTTGAAAACATTTTTCAAATCCTCGAATATCAGTATCATAATATGGATCATCTATATTAGTTTTTCCGGTGGTGATTGCTTCTGGATCAAATGACCCTAACAACAATATTTTTGCTTTTGTATTATCTGATGGTTTCTTGCGATTGATGAAATCCACGTTACTCTTATCCATTCCAAAAACAAAATCAAACTTATTCAAGTCTTCCAAGTCGAACTGTTGTGCAGTGTGCATGTACTTGATACCGTTGTTTTTCAGTACAGTAATTGTCCGTGGGTCTGGTGAACAGCCCACATGCCATCCCCCTGTACCGGAACTTTCTGCATACCACTTGTCGGCGACACCTTTTTGCCTAGCCACTTCATTGAACACGGCTTCAGCCATTGGAGATCGACAAATGTTACCCAAGCATACAAACATGACACTACGCTTTTCGCCCATTGCCGTGTCGTGTATTTAATTGGCAGAAAAAATATAAACGATTCTTTTGTTTTAAATAAACAAAAACCACAATCTACTCGGTGGCCGTGCGTTTCTGCCACAGAAAGTGATACAACAAACGGCAGCAGTGAATAAATTAGTAGTTAGTACGATAACACAACACTGAGCACGTGATAGACTATATAATATTATAGTAACCGTCGRGGTTGTACTTTCCGATCACACGATCAATTCATAGATAGGTAACGCGTTAATTTAAAATTGTAATTATATTAAAAAAAAT